CTCCGACGATCTTGTCGTCATCCAGGGCAACTGAAAACACAAGTGTAAACAAACTGTTTACTCCTACACTTTTACATCAGGAGTGAAACATCTATACTGTTTGATTTCCAGTCAAATGCATAAATCAAACCCATTTGAGTGGATACAGATTTTCCACTTTGAGATAATAAAGCTATGATGAATAAAGGTGCGATCTGGGAAGAAAGCCAACCAACTGTTAGCAGAGAAGAAGCCTTAAAACATCACACTCACAAGCAGCTCCAATGAGCAGAACAAAGACCAGAGACCTCATGGTTGCTGAGTGATCCTACAGATGAGAGAACTTCACCATGGAGCTCTGATTTATATACACAGGGAGAGAGCTGGGGAGCTCCTATTGGTCAGTGAGGAACCAATCTCTTTGGATGGTCTTTGAAACTGGCTTCGCTTTTTGCATAGGGATGGCTTAATTTTTAGCAAACAAGGAAAATTATAATGCAATGTGTGATGTAGACAGTTTTTGCTTCTCTATTATTTGTACTGACTTATGTTTCATATCTGTAATATATGTATACAAATTGTTAATATAAACCAAAAAAACAACTTGTTAGGAACTCTTTCCCTAATGCATCGTTAATACAGTCACAGCAAAACAAATTATTTCTATTATGTGTAATGTTCTGACAATAATCCTGTGCAATATTCTATAAAGCAACTCTTAAGACCAAATTAAATTATGCAAATTTTATTTTGGTATAAATTTGATTAATTCACCTGTTAGCTGATGGAAATAATTTGTTTTATTCATAAAACATAGGACATGCGTATAAAGTTGTGATAGAGCAAGTGCTGTGATTTTATTTTACTTGAAAAGGGAGAATTATATGTGAGATATAATTGCTGAAAAATATAGGCAGCAGAGCAGGTCACCTAGTAACCGGAAGGTTGGGGGTTCGATCCCCACTAAATATCTCTCTGATACATGCTTGTGTGAATAGGTGAATGAGGCAAGTTGTGCTCAAATAGAGTAGAAAAGTGCTATATAAGGACCAGTCCAATTTATACACAGTTAATGCATGGCCTTTGTGTTGTGCAGCCACTCAATCATAACACAGACATAGAAACTGAACAACATCAGTCAGGATGTTGTAGGATCATTACACTGAACAGAGTCATGTTTGGCACAGGGGATGGGGTGTTTGGAAGCACTAACATGATGCCTTGGTGTAGGATAGCTTTTCTCAGCATGTCTATATCCCCAATATACAACATCTTGCAGCACAACTTTGCAGAAATCAGCACCTCCAGAGTCACCTTGAGAGAAAAACTTGGACTTACATGCAGTGAATCTTGATACTTGAACTCTGAACTTTTGCAATGCAATGCTCAGCCCTCAGCACTTTAAAGTAATTAAAACAAGTGGTTGGTCCAGTTTGAACGTATGTTGTCAGAAAAGCAGAAACATATCTGGCAGGAGCCTGCCTTCATCCAGGTATCCTTTACAGAATATGGTGTAGTCAACTACATTGGGGTATTTAATGTGACAGTAATCTTCAGACAGGATGGGAATTTCTGCACACTGAAGCCTGTCAGCAGCTGCAGCAAATACAAAAGAACATTGGGGATAATAGAGACTTTGCAAGTGGTCCCAGAAGAGGCACAGCCAGCGGGCAGAGCCACAGGCTGCACATACTGGTTGACTATGGCAGCTGAGCTTGAGCAGCCTGATGTCATTCACAAGTGCCAAACTGTCACAGAAGGCTTGTTGGATTATATGGAAAACACTAACAAACTCCTCATTACCCTCAGTGGCTCCAGTATGATGATCTCCCATACACAACTCCATGCAAAAGACAGACAATTGATTTTCTGTTCCTTTTTCCCATCAGTTGCATCAGTTCTCATTGACCAGGGAGAAACCACAGAAGACGCTTGATTGGGGCTGGGAGTAGGGCTCACACTCATACCCATCAACATCATCTGTGGACACAGAAATAGTAATTCATTTGTTGCACTATAGAAACATGCACAGTGCACAAGACACCGTCTGCACTTGCAAGCAACTTCAATTAGCAAAATGAAAACCAGAGATTTCATGGCTGACATTGTATCCTTTTACTTTACTTCAGTCTTTATCCTGTGATTGCCTGTCAACTAAAACACACAAATTGATAGTGAAGTGTAAACCAGACACAGGTGGTCCATTCCAGACTTGTAAGGCTTCTAAATCTAACCCCATATGGCTGCAACATATGGATTGTTCACATAACACCTTTACTCAAGGCCGAGTTCAGAACCATAAAAGAAATATGCAGCAGTGAGAAATCAAATATAGGACAACATGTAACTATTCTTATAGCAAAAATGATTGCAGCATAATGGATGACTCAAATTAATCAGACCCATTCAGAAATTCAGAAATTTAGATTTGAATAATCATGTATCAGTAATACAGAGGTTTGCTGCTGATTTCTAACTGCTGTGTGACAATTAACGATCCTGCAGTCCTGCTACTAAAAAAAAAGTCATTAATATTTATCATGACTAATTCCAGCTGTTACATTTTTTAAAAGTAGGGATACTTTAATGTAATTTAACCTATACCAGAGTAACTTTGGGAATTCCACATAAAGCAGGATGCAGTTCTTTATTTTCACATCTTATTAATATCTTTTTTCATTTTAATATTTACATTTATGCTGTCAAACAAATAGCTCATTTATAATATTTAATTATAAGCAATAATTTTGATAATCATCTTTAGTCAAGAAGAAAGTTAATTAACTAAATATTACTCTGCCTTGCAATTACATAAAAGAACAAACCCAATGCATATTCTAACAAATGATTGGTCTACTTGGCTGGTGTTATTTGTCTTTTCTTGTTTGCTTGAAACAACATTTTTTTGTTGGTTTATCAAAAAAAAATTATGTGGGTTAGGAAACATTCTGCAGCTGCTGTTGTGAACATGGCCATCTGGAGTGCAACAGGCTACAGCCAAGTCAAGGTTAGTGATTACAAAGTACATTTTGCTGTGCTTGCATCCTATATAGAAGGTATGGCTGTAAAGGTTTCATACATATAGTTTCATAGCTAGATAGCTAAATAGATTTGAAACTCATTCAAATATTGGTTGCTTACCTTGCTCTCAGAGTGTTGTGCCTTTGGGGGTTATGGATGTACTGACAAAACAAATCCTGGCATTTATATCAAAGTAATGCACAGAGACCAGGACCATTTCTTTAACCTAAACCACTATCACCTATTTAATGTATGCAGCTGGTTATGCATACCAGCAAACTTTGCTCCCCGACCCTTAAAAGGATAAGCAGAAGAGAATGGATGCATGGATTCAATCTGTATTTTTGTAATAGAAATTCTCCAAATTCCCATTGGTCCTATTAAATCCACGAGTCATGTTTTGGGAGGTTTATTCATTACTATGTCAAAGTTTTCATATTAGCATTTGTTGAAAGCATAGACTGGTCAGTAACTCCTTCTCATGTCAATCAGTCACATCATTTATTGGTTCTTATGCCTTTCAAACAGTATCTTATGCCTTTCAAACAGGAAAATCTGTGATACAAAAACCTGTACATTTCAAAATAATTCTTCTATACAAAGAACAATATTTGTTCCTCTTTAAAGCAAACTACTATTATTAAGTAGTTGTCATTGTCAAAACCTTCTATTATACATCTATACCACACAACACTCAGATACAGCCCTTTCAGGTGTATCTGTACTCTGTCTTGACTCAGTGGTGAATGAGTCTAGTTCAGTCCAGCTAACCCTTTTAAATCAGCGTGCAAACTCTTGGGTTAATAATGCTCTGATAGTTTACCATTTAAAAGTTTACCACTGAAACAACCTTTTTGGGGTGGCATCTGAAAAAAGTTCAGCAATTTTGAAACAGGAATAAGTCGAAATTTTGAGACTGGATCATAACCTTTTGAGTCGTGGGAGGCTAAGAGTTATCTAGATATGAATAGTTTCGTAACATTCATCAGTTTACACAGTTTACATGCACACACGCAACAACAGTATAACAATACTTTTTAACCAAACAAACAAAAACATATAGAGAAGGTGTTTTTTAAAAAAGGACCATGAGTTGTAGCAATAGACCGTGAGGTAGCGGCGGTGTTAAGCGGAACTATCTTCTAGCAATTTCGCGACCCAGTCGGACGTATTAGCCGACGTACCACCAATGTCAACTCTAGCACATATATCGTTGATATATGTGACCTCCTGAATATTTCTAACATTTAGGTAATCTGCTCTATTTTGTGTATAAACAGTGGTTTAGGTAGATTATATTCTAAACGTTTCTTTGCTTTTTGAGTTTTATTTTGTCTGACGCGGGCTATCGTAGGCGAAGCTATCCGACAAAATGCGCCTCACGTTGCAAATGTTGATCTCCCACGGCCGGATGGCCCGGAGGATGGGTTTGGGCCCGCGGTCCAGGATCGACATGCTGCGCAACATTTTGACAGGACTGGTCCGACACGAGAGGATAGAAACCACGCTGGCCCGAGCAGATGAAGTCCGCTTCTACGCCGAAAAGGTGACCATGTGAGGAACACGTATGCTTAGAAACGGTGAAATCTAACAGTATCTGAGTAGTTCTAACTAGCCAAATTCAATATGAGTAATTATTAATAACATTATTATTTAATCTGCGGGGATGCCTTTCTAATAAGGCCAGTACAGTTATTAGGTAGAAACACGTGGACTCGCATCTTAAGAGGATTGTTACACCCACAGCAGCTCACTAATGTTACTAACATAACAATTAATATAAACAATGTTTTAATTAATCTGTTCATATTGGCCAGTGCAACACTCGGGTCACTCTCCGGTCAGCTGAAACAGACACGTTCTTCCAACCAATCAATGAAATGAACGCTTGGTGGTTTTCACAGCTCATTGTTTCCACTGCAGATTGTGAAAATACACATTCATTCATTCATAAGCCTGCACCGTCTGACTGAGATCTGAGCCGAGTGAAGTTCTGCTGTAATGTGGAAGCAATGCAAGACAAGCATAAAGCGAAAAGCAAACTAGTCCAACCCCAACAGTAACTTCTCTGCATTTCTGCCCAGTGTTGATGTCTTGCTAAAAAACGATTGCTTGCGATTGTTTGTATGTTTCCTATGCTTCTATTGGTAAATAGGCTGTATATAGACAATATTAAAGGAGTTTTATAAGTAATTTATATATTAAATAAGTGACCTTTTTTGTAAGCAAAAAAAGTAATCTCTGTACTATTGTACCTACTATCAAAACAGTACTTCTTGGCTACTTAAAATATTTATAATACCACTGCTATGTTATGTTTTGACTGCAATTTCTGCAGCTTTCTTGGTCATTTTGCCAAAACTGATTGTAGCTTTTACCTTTCCACTTCTTTCTGGCTCCAAATGTCTTGATATGATTTGTGAGAATACCCCACCCACCCCCCAGAATAACAAAAAGAGTATAAAAAATACTTCCACAGCAAGAGCAGGTAGCGGATCATTGGTGCTGTGGAATATTGACTAACAGGTGTATCCACTCCCAAAGGGGCACATATTAGTGTTTCTGCACACGCCTGCCCTACAGCAGCATGGGATGAGGTGTGCACATGCCTTTCAAAACATCTGTTCCCCACTGTGGTTAGGGTTAGGCTTTCTCATGTCGCACCTTCCACTGGATTAGAGACATGTCTCTAACTGCCTTTTATCTTATAGGGATCCTTTATTTGCATTGAGCACGAATAGTGCTTAGTGAGTCCTGGTGTGTAGTTTAAATTGGGTTTAGGTGTGTGTGAAGCAAACTCAAGTTTCATCATATTGCGGTAATGGAGAACCCCTGTGTGGGAAATTTGTGCATATAGTATGTCACTGAGCAGTTTGCTACTTAAACGTTTTGTGTTAAAAATTGATATACTTGGATTTAACTATTCAGTTGATAGTAACCGGTTATGCATATTAATATGTGTGCATGTCTGCACTGTGTAGACTCCTACTGAGTGTTATTAGAAGGAAGTTTAAATAGTTTTGCTCATCCCTGTTTAGAAGTTGTTTTTCATATAAAAATAACCCTTTATTGCATTAAAATTGTTCTAACTCTAAAACTTTGCCTTATTCAGTATGCAGACATCTGTGAATGTGTAAATTGGTCTTCGCCACACGTCTTGGCTCCGCACTCACAAAATTGTTCGCTACGTAAAACTGAGTGTTTTAGAAGATCCTGACAAAATATACAGAGCCTGTACCACACTGAGAATTAGCAAGTTTCAGCTATTAAAGTGAATCAAAAAAACATGTTAATACAATATAACAATTAAATAGATTAACACTTGTAAGTAAGGTTTGTTTTTTCCGCTCTCTCAGGGCAACATCACAAGTTGTCAAGTCAAATTAATCATCACTTCTTTGCTCTCTGTTTTCACGTGGATCAGTGTAAGACACGGATGAGATGACGAAACTCACGCAACTGTAAATGACAGAAAAAGCAGCAGATTCTCACACTTAACTGAAGCAAAACGAGTACACACAGATAACATGAGCCCTGCCCTAATATGCGGTATATGTGTGAAATCCTGACTGCCTGAATTTGTGATTTTCATTTTAATTAGCATACTGCAATAGTAGCTGTTTTTGTTTTGTTTTTTAAATTTGTTTTATTTGTTCATGACTTCTAGCATATGGTATGAAACATGGTACGAACTTCTTAACAAGGTTTCAAAACCTTATATTTTTTGAAAGAGGTCTTTAATTCATTTTCTTTGACATGCGTCTGACTTTCGATGTTTTCTTTTATCTTTTCTTTTTTTTTTTCCCTCTAGCTGGTAGACTATGCCAAAAAGGGAGACACTGATGAGAAGGCGATGAAAATGGCCAGTTTTTGGCTGACGGTATGTGTCTGCAGCTCTTCTTCACTTTGTAAAGATAATAACCGTGTAGCTCTGAATATAAAACAGTTGATGTGAAGCTTATTTTAAGTATGCTTCCTCTCTTCAGGAGAAGGATCTGGTCCCAAAGCTCTTCAAGGTCCTGGCTCCACGGTTTGAGAACCACTCAAACAGCTACACACGGCTGGCACGCATCCCCAACAGACAGAACCTGGACAGAGCTAAGATGGCTGTTCTGGAGTACAAAGGCAACCCTTTCCCACCCCTTTATCCTGCAAAAAAGGAAAATGAACTGACTCTTATCAACCAGCTCCTCAAAGGCTACAGAGAGGACAGGGCACAACAGTTAGACACAAAGCCGTAGTTGCCACCATGGAGATGGATCAAAGATTGCCGAAGGGTGATTGTGGGGTACTGAAATGCTCCTGAAGAGCCACTTGCATATTCTGCAGACTGTGGCTTAAAGACACTGATGCAGTTCTTTACCAAAAGAAGCCACAGCTCTGTAAAGTATTTCTGATTGTGTATTAATAAATATTATTTCTTAAGATAAGCAAGAAATGTTTGGTTTTCCTTTGATTGTTAATGAATCCAGATTCATGCTGAGCATTCATAAATAGGTTCACAAATAAACTGCTTTTCTTGTGTGGTGATTGTGGTTATAATTTTAAAAGAGTCAAAGTAATGATCAAAATTGTGCTATTCTATAACTGCATATTCCATATCTCCTGTTTATAACAGAGTATGACTCTTATAAATTGGTTGTTTTCAAGCACAAGCAATGTTACTATTATTTTTGGACACGTCATCAATTTTCTGAAGGCGTTACAGGATGCATAGCGCTCCTTGTGACATATACACCAATCAACCACAACATTAAAACCTCCTGAATTACATTACACAGCTCTCCTCGAGCTGGCAAAATAGCTCTGACCTGCTGGGGCATGGGACCTCTGGGAGAGTTCTGTGGTGAATGGCAGTAGATGATTGTGAGTCCTGTGGGTTGCACAGTGGAGCCTCCGTGGAATGGGATTTGTAATGGCGCATTCCACGGATGTTCGATTGGACTGGGATCTGGGGAGTTTGGAGGCTGGGTCAACCCCTTGAACTCTTTGTCAAGTCCCCTGAGCTGTTGCACTTTTTGCGGTGTGCCAGAGCTCATTGTCCTGCTTGGTATGGGCACTGCAGCGTTAGGGTATGTTTGTCCTGCAGTACTGTTTAGGTGCGCGATGCATGTTAAAGTAACCCCATGAACAGCAGCAATCAGTTTACCAGTAGTACAGTGCACTGTAACGAGGCAAGTAATGTCATTTACATATGACTGGTTTTAACCCTGTAAAGCCTGAACAATTAAATAATTGCCAGAAAATTCAGAGTGTTGACTGATCCTTCTAACAAAAAACTGAAATTAAAACTAGCAATTTACATATATGAGTTTTAATATATATACTTTTTGCTACATCTGTTATTTTTGCGCAGTTTATGTTTTTCAGGATAAGGATCGCAGTGATGATGTAAAAGTCTCTAAACTTCAAATATAATACACGTGGCAGGGTTATACAGGGTTGCCTTCATGTGCAAATTGGTGTAATTCCAGTTTAAAGGAGGATTTCTGGACAGTACGTTGTCTCTAAGTTCTCTTCACTAATCGTTTTCCAGTCTTGTAGTTAATGTCAGTATAGACAAGGTTGAAGCAGTGATTCAGCCACCTGAGTCACGTCTATTGACATGCAACAGCACAGACAATGGTAGACACGCCATATATAGAATTAGTCAACACCGGATGGACAGCGGAACTAACACAAGGAATTATGGACATGTTCAAATTTCATTTATATAAAGCACAACTGTACAATCACTAGCCATCTTGTTAGGTACACCTGTTCAGCGACTCACTGTTGCAAATATCTAATCAGATAATGTGTGGCAGAAGCTCAATTCATTCATGGCAGAGGGGCTGGTCTGAGTATTTCAGAAACTGCTGATCTACTCTGATTTTCCTGGACCACCATGATTAGAACAACTCTGAATGCACAACATGTTGAACCTTGAAGCAGATGGACTATAGCAGCAGAAGTTCACACCAGGTGCACTGCTGTCAGAAACAGGAAGCCAAGGCTACAATTTGCACAGATTCACTAAAACTAAGTAACAAAAGATTTCCTGGTCTTGATTTCTGTTGCAACATTTTGATGGGAAGGTCAGAATTTGGCACAAACAGTGTAATTTACATGTCACAATCTGAGTATTGTTGCTCACCCTTTATGAGCACGATGTACCCATCTGCTGGTGGATGCTTCCAGCAGGATAGCGTCACAATGCATTTCCTCAAACTGGTTTCTTGAAAATAGAAATTAGTTCACTGCACTCAAATTGCCTGAACAGTCACCAGACCTCAATCCAACAGAGCATCTTTGGGTTCTTCAGGGACTCTGTGATATTATGTCAATAAGGACCAAATCTCTCAGGATTGTGTCAAGCACCTTGTTGGATCCATGTCACAATAAATTAATGGAGTTCTGAAGACAAAATAGGGTCCAAAACGATAACTAGTCAAATGTACCTAATCAAGTGGCAGCCAGTCTCACATCTAAGACCTAAATTTACAAAATAATGGCCTACATCTTCCTTCCACCATCCTGATATTAGTGCCTTTGCATATACACTACTTCATACTGACAAATCCCTAATACAATGTGTCACATGTCACCAGTGAAAATTACACTTTTTCTGGGAACAATAACAGCAGTGATTCATGTGCTCAAATTGTCAGTTTATTGCTTACTAGACTATAAAAGTGCACCTTTTGGTATACAGTGTTTATCATTTAGGGAGCAGTGAATGACTCAGTGTGGAAGCACATGTGTAACTAATAACATTAACCATGGCTCCAGCAATAGCTGTGTATTTTTAAACTAAAGAAAAAAAAATTCATCCATCCTCTTATCCAATTCAGGATCACAGCTGGGCTGGACAGGCTGCCAGTCTATTGCAGAGCTAACACAAAGAGACAGATAACCACTCATTCACCGGTTACTCTAACATGGCTTTAAACCAGGCACCTTCTTGCTGGGAAGCAACATTGCTATCTATCACACTGCTCATTACCAAGCATTATATTTGAATTTTTTCTCTGAAGACTGTTACATTAGTCATATTGAAAGCTTGTGTCTCTACCTGAAACTCAAACACAGACACTGGCATTTTGTTGTGGCTCTGTACCTCAGGGGTCACCAAACAGGATATTGGCAGTGACTGCGAAACAATTAGGCTAGCCTACATCAGATTGTGAGCAGGCTGGAGTCTGTCCCTGTGGTGTTTTACTTTAATGGACTTGTAATGAGAACAGATTCTAAATTTGATTTACAGATATTAGATTTACTCCTTTGGACACGTGCCCTTGTCCTAACTGGATCGTAACACAGGAGCCATATAACACAAAGCCAGGCAAAGCCTCTAATAAAACCAAAGATTTTTTTTATTATTTTGGCAAAAAGTGTATATGTACAGCTTATTTAGAATTATTATTTGACACCATTAAAATGCATTTGACGGTGCTTTAGTGATGTGCTCTTAACCAGATCACTCTGAGTAGCCTAAAAGCTGTGCTGTTTTCTGTCATGCATACACAATCTCTTTTCTTTGCGCTCTGTCCCCAGTTCTTTGTGTCATTTCTGTAATTAAAAGTCATTATAAACAAGGTTGAAGTAGGGATACATTTCAGTAAGTATATCGAGTATCACCCAGTTTCTTATCAGTCAAGTCATGGCAACCATAACAATGGTCAACATCTGACGAAATGGCAGACATGCCAAATACAAATCAGAAACATAATCAGAAATAACAGCTAATACTCCAATTCAAGTATCATTCAGCTGCACAGACCAAGTTACACCTCTGATTACACTCTTACAAGGTACACACCACAGTCCTAACGTTGCCTAAACTCCATTACAGAAAGATTGCCAGTGACACATCTGTGGATAATTAGCAGAGCCACAGATTTTATAAGCCAGAAATGAATGAAAAGTCGAGATTAAAAAAAACACTGAATTTGTCAAGTGTACTCAGTCTCAATGACACCCTTACATAATTCTTACCAGCATGTGAGACTCAGTGTTGCGTTACACTGACTAAGCATGAAACGTTAACTTCAAACGTTTGGACAGTTGATGGCGTTTTTGGACTGTATTTACAGGTGTATGCATCTGGAATAGTACTCGATGTTGTAGGAATACAGGTTTCAAAGCAGTCTTATAAGGTGACATCATCACGAATAAACAGACTAAGACCAGGAACATTAAAGTGCTCCATGCAGGACAGACGAAATGTACACGGTATCTGTTTCACAGTTCATCTACAAGGTTTTTTTTGTTGTTTTTTCTTGTTATAGCTCAATATTAGGGGATACAAAACTAGTAATATTTGTTCGGCTTCTCACACTGGGTAACTTATTCAGGCGCGAGAACCTGACAAATATAATATTCGTGTTTCAGGATTGAGACAGAGGTGAGAATGAAGTTACTTGTATTCTATAAAAAAAGGCAGCCTCCAGCTTTTAAGTCATGGATGTGTCAGATGTAAGCAAGCCAAAGAGAGGCAAAAAGAAAAATTGACAAAAAGGTATACTAGAGTAATTCCAGTAACTTGAAAATCACCCCTGTCCTTGTGCTGTATTGCATCAGTACATTCACCAACGTCTACATACACAGAAATGACTTTTTTTTTTTCAACAGGCATATTATGTACTCTAGTGAAAATTCAACCAAAGAAAAAAAAACAAAAACAATATAACATTTGTTTTATATTGTGTCTCAAACAGCGCAAGACGCTTTTGACTGGAGTAACAACAGAGTTTATCCAGTCGAAATATACTGAAGCTTATTGTATGCATTTACAAAATGAAAGAGTTCAATACACACAATATGCAAATATTGTGTGGTCATGTTGAGTACATATAATCAGTGTTTTTAAGACAGGAAATACAATACAAACATGCGTGTTTTTACAAGCACTGTACCTAGGAGTGCCCACAGTAAACGTGACATTTACAGTTACACATCAGCATATCAATCCAGTATAGCCAGCTGCAATGGAGGCATATAAGAATATAAATAAACCGAACAGATTTCGTATAGAGTAAATGTATCTATGCTTTATCAAACAGTGTCAAAAATTAAAAAAAAATCCTTTTTTAGATTAACCCAGAACATGTAATGGCATGATGTTTCTCTATGGTCACAGCACCAACTACAATTTAATGATGTGGAAAAAACAAAAATAAATCTTTCTTTCTTCAAAAAAAAAAAAAAAAAAACTATGTAGATTGGTAGCACTCACCGGGTTTAGCTATTTACAAACTCTTTCAGGCACACCATCAATGCCTCATGAATTTTTGAATGAAAACTATTTCAAGAATTTTGTTCATTTCCGCTTTGTGCACAGCTATCATTTTTTGCTCTGGCTACATCCACTTTGTCATCTTTCTCCCTGTGTGCCTTTTACTGGTCAACATCAAATATTTATTGCTTCTTTATTCTTTAACAAGCTCTG